GTTTTTAAAACAGAAGCCAAATTGTCATGATGCATAGGTTGTACCCCACAGGGATTTGTTTCTGAGGATACTGTTAGACTTTTATTTTTCTAAACGTGTATTTTTAGTTATTAGATTTGAAACTGTACATTGTAGGGCAGTATACTAACAGCCTTTGACATTGGCCTAATAGGCCTTTGTTACTCTTTCTTTGTGATTTTCCTAGGTTGACACTAGCAGTTTCTTATTCAGTGTCCTTGGCTCTCTTGGGCCAGGGCTTTTATAAGTGCTCAGTGAGTACCTTATAAAGGCTGACCCTCACTGGATCAGATTATAGTGTAGCATGAAGAGCTAAATTTAGAGAGAAGCAGCGCCTCTGCTCCAAATAGTAACAGCTAAAGCCTAGACACTCTTGGAGAGCAGAATATCTTCATTTAGTCTGTCACCACCAGTGGGTGAGTTTTTGTTTGTTTTAGTTTTGGGTATTATATCAAAGTCCTTGCATACAGTTTTATGTTTACGTGTTATTGTGTGTTTTTCTACATGGAATATATTGAGGGTATGAAAAATAAGCCCACATAACTGGGTTATAAAGAAACCAACTTTTATGCTTAGAAGGGAAGTAATATAAAATCTAAAGATTTTGAAAATACAGTAGTTCTTTCATATGCTGTGTTTGGTGGTACTTCTCCATTAACAGAAAAAAGAAATAGAAACAAGGTGCAGAGTTAATTAGGGAATTCCATGAGTTTGCATTCTAAACCCCAGAATAAAACTTTTAGGAAGGACTCACACTTTAGAATTTTTGAAATTATATACAGTGGTATGTACCTGTAATTCCCACTACTCAAGAGGCTGAGATGGGAGAATTGCCTGAGTCCAGGAGTTTGAAGTCACCCTAGTCAACATAGTAAGACCCTCATCTCTAAGGAAGTAGAGAGAGAAGGGAGGGAGGGAGGGAGGGAGGGAAGGAAGGGAGGAAGAGAAAGAAAAAGGAAGGACAGAAGAAGAAAAACATTGTTGGTAGAGAAGTCTGTTGGAGACATTCTGTCTAGTTGAGCTACATTCTTTTTGCATCTTAGTACAAGGCCCAAATTCTTGACACATATTTTTCTTTGCTAACACAAATAAATTTTGTATAATATTTGTATTTGGGAGGTATGGAGACAGTGATACATGTATATTATCACCACCTTTGCAACAATGAAGTATTTGGTGATCCTGAGTGAATTTGTTTATAATGCCAGCAGGAAAGTTTGTGAATGAAACTTGCAGTGAATATAAATGATGCATTAGAAGCTCTATTTTCAACATCCATCAAATGAAATTGGAATTCATTGATTAAGTTTATAGCATTTGTAATGATTTCAGTGTGTTGCTGTTGGCCCATACACATAAGCAATCAAATACTTTGTTCTCGTTCTGGTCTGTGCTTCTTTTCTTTTTTTTGAGGTGGAGTTTCGCTCTTGTTGCCCAGGCTGGAGTGCAATGGTGGGATCTCGGCTCAGTGCAACCTCCACCTCCTGGGTTCAAACGATTCTCCTGACTCAGCCTCCTAAGTAGCTGGAGTTACAGGCATGCGCCACTACGCCGGCTAATTTTTTGTATTTTTAGTAGAGACCAGTTTCACCATGTTGGCCAGGCTGGTCTCCAAATCCTGACCTCAAGTTATCTGCCCACCTCCACTTCCCAAAGTGCTGGGATTACAGGCGCCAGCCTGGCCTGGTCTCCATTTCTGTTGTTTGAACTATTACATTCTGTTGCAAATGTTTGAATTTTATCCCTTCCAGTGAGTTCCTCAAGGGCATGGATTCTGGCTTAATGACCTTTTTATCTCCAAACGAGATGTATTAAGTTCATTTTACTTTACAGGTTTGATAAAAATTCTTCCTCAAACCATGTAATAATTTACTTTATGTATTTTTATGTGACTTTTAATTAGTTTCTCTTCTAAAATAATGATTAACTTAAAGTTTTCAATAATAAACAGATTTTTTTTATGTGAATCTACAAGTTTCTCTTTTCTGCAGTGAGAAGGAAGAGTTGGCATATAAATAATTTTTGTATATTCTTAAGGATTTTTTTAAAAAAAATTTCAGGAGTAATTAGATTACTTGAGTACTGTAAATTTTTTATTGTTTGATGGTGTAAATAAGGAAATCTAGACATTTTCAAATGAATGTCTAAAAGCTTTGGAAGGTAATTAAATAATTTGCTTGAATAATGCATGTTATATTGAATGTTTGGCCTTCATAATTTAAGCAATCTAGGCATATTTTCAGTTTATCTTTATGTCAGCAAGCGTAGTCTCAATTTTTAAGAAGTCATGTGGAGCAAGCTTTACGTGTTTTCAAAGATAACATACTACATTTTTTAAAATTGTGTATTAAATCCACTAAAATAATATGAAGTACCCAAATCCCTGTCCATTAAGATACACCAAAAAATAAAAAATCTATTACCCATTTCTTATATCTTTCTTAAATTGTTGTTGCATTAAAAACCATTTATTCTGTACACCCTCCTTTTAACCAAGTACTTTACATTCTTTTATTCAGCTTGCTTTTTTTCACTATCATATGCCTTGAGCATGTCTCCTTATCAGTTCAGCAACTTATTTGAAAATTATTTATTATATGTTTATACTTTGCTCAGTGTAAAAGATGCAGAATGGAGGAGCTAAAGGAACACTATGGAGTAAAAAACCTACAAGGTTCCTGTCCTAGTGAAGGTTACTCTCATGGGGGATCTAGACCCCAAACAAACAGATAACAATAAAATGGCAGGTGCTGCTAAAGAAAAGTAAAGCTAGGTAAGGAGAGTGAGTGACAAGGGGCCACTTTGGTGGAGATGGTCAGAGAACTCCCTTTTCAGGGAGGCACTTGAATGAGTGCAAGAAGATTGCCATGTGGAGAGCTGGGGAAGATCTTCCCTGAAAGAGAGGCAGTTATAGAATCTCAGAATGCAAAACTTATCTGGCCTATTGGAAGAACAACAAAGAGATCAATGTGACCGTAACTCGGTGAGTGATGAGATGAGATGTGTATTGAATACACATACGTAGTCAGAAAATAGACATATATGGATCAGAAATGTAGTGCAGTTAAATCTAATTCATTCTTTCATAAAGCTTCATGGTGTTCCACTTGGTGGCTAGATTATGACTTATTTGAGGGCATTTCATGTTCCATTTTTTATGTATCCAACAATGCTGCAACTAAATCCTTTTACATATACAAGTATATTTGCATCCTTGTGTGAATAAAACTGTAGGATAAATTCCCAGTAAGGTATTGCTGGACCAAGGTTATGCCCATGTAAATATTTATAGATACTCACCAAATTCTTCCTCAAAATATAGCATGGAATTTAACCTTTACGTCAAAGTTGGTGTCTGTGGTTGTTTCTCCTGTGTCCTTTGCCAACACTGAGTATTGGTAAACTTCAAAATTTTTGCTAGTCCAAGTTAAAATTAGATGTCATTTTTAAAAGTACATTTAGGCCAGGCGCAGTGGCTCACCCCTGTCATCCCAGCACTTTGGGAGGCCAAGGCAGGTGGATCACAAGCTCAGGAGTTCAAGACCAGTCTGGCCAACATGGTGAAACCGCATCTCTACTAAAAACACAAAAATTAGCAGGGCATGGTGGTGCGCACCTGTAGTCCCAGCTTCTCAAGAGCCTGAGGTAGGAGAATTGCATGAACCCTGGAGGCAGAGGTTGAAGTGACCTGCGATCGTGCCACTGCACTCTAGTCTGGGCGACAGAGTGAGAGTCTGTCTCGTAAAAAAGAAAAAAAAGTATATTTAGTAATGGGTGAGCTTGAACATATGTTCAACCAACCAACATATTAGCTGTATATTTTTCATATAAATTGCTTATTTGAAATACTTAATATTTATTTTCTTTATTTTCAGAAATTTTATGAATAAGCATCAGAAGCCAGTGCTAACAGGCCAGCGGTTCAAAACTCGGAAAAGGGGTAGGTTGTGTATGTGTGTGTTTAAAGTTGCAACCAAAATATAACATTGGAGAAGAACAATCTGAATGACACCTGTTTTCCCCCACCTCACTAATTATACTCATTTGAACTCTTGGTGTAGAATCTGAAGTGTTTTGGTCAAACGATAGAACTGCCAGTTACTTAGGTGTTTGAAGTTGGACAAGTTATTTAATTTGCCTGAGCTACTTGTTTTCATCTACAGAATGGATAATTATCTTTGTTCAGGCTGTCTTACTTTCATGTGAGGTTATGAAGGCAATTGATAAATTTTACTGGTTTTGGCATTAGCGTTTGTATTTGGTTTTTGCTTTCTTGGTTGTTTTAGGAAAACATGGATGACAAAGATGATAAAATGAAAAGAAAAGTAAATTAGGAAGTGAGATATTGAAGAGTTTTTAAATTTTTTAGAAACAAGGAAGTTAAAACAAATCTACTGCTGTAAATTCCCCTTAAAAACCGTCTTTTCAAATGTCTTTAATTGTGGGAAGAGTAGTTATAGACCCATTTTGATGACTGATAAAATTTCTATTTGTGTGAGTGACTTTTTTTTAATATATAAAAGTCTCATCTTAGCATATATTTTGTGTAAATAAGATTTTATTTTATTTTTTTAAAGTCAGGGACTTGCTCTGTCACCCAGGTTGGAGGGCAGTGGTGTGATGATAGCTCACTGCAGCCTCAAACACCTGGCTCAAGTGGTCCCTTCACCTCAGCCTCCCAAGTAGCTAGGACTATAGGTGCACACCACCACACCTGGCTAACTTTTTAAAAATTTTTCTGGAGAGACAGGATCTCAAACTCCTGGTCTCAAGCAGTCCTCGTGCCTCAGCCTCCCAAGGTGCTGGGATTGCAGATGTGAGCCACTGCACCTGACCTGTATAAAGACTATTTTATATATTTATTTATTTTAAATTAGTTATTGGCTTATTTACTTTTTAGATAGGGTCTTGCTCTGACACCCAGGCTAGAATGCAGAGGTGCAGTCACAGCTACTGCAGCCTCAACCTCCTGGGCTCAAGTGCTTCTCCCACTTCAGCCACCCAAGTAGCTACCATGCCCAGCTATTTATTTATTAATTTATTTATTGAGACAGAATTTTGCTCTTGTAGCCCAGGCTGGAGTGCAGTGGCACCATCTCAGCTCACCACCACCTCCACTTCCCAGGTTTAAGCGATTCTCCTGCCTCAGCCTCCCAAGTAGCTAGGATTATAGGCATGTGCCACCACGCCCAGCTAATTTTGTATTTTTAGCAGAGGGAGGGTTTCTCTGTGTTAGTCAGGCTGGTCTCAAACTCCCAACCTCCGGTGATCCGCCTACCTTGGCCTCCCAAAGTGCTGGGATTACAGGCGTGAGCCACCATGCCCAGCCAATTTTTAAATTTTTGTGGAGACAGTATCTTGCCATGTTGTTGAAGCTGGGCTCAAGCGATGTTCATGCCTCAGCCTCCCATAGGGATTACAGGCATGAGCCACCACAGCCAGCCAAGAATATTTTAAACACGATTTTATATTTAGTCAGTTTTGCATAATTATATAGAGGTCTTCTTGAATATAAGAATAGCTGAACTGAAACTCACTAGGGAAACTTTTTCAAAGAGGAAACATGATATACATGATGAAGTTAAATAAAGTTGAAGGGAATTACTGAAAAAGATTTAAGGAAGTATATATAAAGATAAAATATGTTGGAGCAGAATCCCATGTACTGATCTTGGAGGGCTAAATTATTTCATTGATAACTGAGTTTAGATTCCTTTGGCAGTCAGTGTTAAGCAGCCTGTGTTCTCTTGCAGTGCTATGTCCATTTAAGCAGCAAGTCTAGTCATGTAGACAGAAAAGAAATTGCCATATAATAGATCATTTGGGTCAGAAGCGTCTACAAGAGTCACTAGGAAGCAGTAAGACTGAATTTAAATCTCTGCTGTCTGCTGGGAAGCTTCATGTTCACAGTAAAATATGCAGATTAAAAAAAGTTAAGTAAGCACAAAATAGTCACTTTGTAGAGTTTTTCTGTTTTGCGCTCCCCTTTTCCTATTTCTTTTCGTTTCTGGCCTATCCCCATAAGAAGAATGAATACAAGTACAGCCTGAGCCACTTCTCATTTAGTCCTCATCTTAGTCTTACAAATTGTGCCGCACTACATTCCTGCTTGGAATCTGGAAGCAGATATCAAACCCAAAGTGCTCACTAGAATGCATTCATAGTCTCACTGTTTAAAGTAGCCTTGGAAGAAAAGACGTGGAAGGTTTTAAAAGGACTTATCAGGCATGAACAATATAGTTCAGAAACTTAATTACAGTTAAAGTATCATGGAGCCTACTAGTGTGACAATAGCCAATATATGTCCAACTAGGAGGCACAGAAATGTTTGCCATTGCCTGCCGCTGGGGGAACGTGTTAATCTCAGAGCTGGATCTCCAGCTCAAGTGGCTTTATTAGTGTGACGTGAATTCACGGGAACTGAGCTCAAGAGAGGGCCCTAGAATGTGTTGCACAATAGCAGATGTGAGTCAGCGAGTAAACTGGCCCTTACAGTTTGTCTACAGTTTAGAACCAGAAAGTTTTCTCTCATTCAGAACAGGGTTTGTCCCTGAATCACTTAGTGGTCAAGATTGTGCTGTTGGAGTACTCAGGGAGAGCCACTGAGAAATCTATATTATTTGCCAGTTAATCTGGATTTATATAACTCATATCCCTTGGGGATTTAAGCAACACTTGGGCCATTTTGTGCCAAACTGCTGATGGGGGGGAAAAATTGAGTCAACCTCATTTTCTGTTCCTCTTAGTAGTGAAATGCCTCTTGATGATTTCTCATCCTTAACTTTTCTTTGCTATTATGAAGGGGCTGACTTCAAATAAATGGTTAGCAATTTTGTAGAGCTGGGAAAAATTACTACTGAGGATATTTCAAGGTCCTTGTGATAGGCTGTTCTCTGAAGATATTTCCTCACTTTGAAACATTTCTTAGCAAAGCCAGTGCTCCTGCATGCCAAGTTAATATGACAATCTATTTCTTATTGCTTAGCATTAAAATACAAACATCGTGGTAGGACACATTCTATAACAGAACTCTAATCAGATTCTCTTTTCCTTTATGAAATACATCTTGCTTATGATACATTCTCCAAAGTAATTATGTTTTCTACTGTGGCTTGTGGAAATCTGAAAGAATGAACATTTCTCCCCAAGCAATTGGGTTATGCTTTGCTAAATGAAACATTTAATAAACGAACTGGTCTTTCTGTACATTTTTAGAAAAATTGGATTGTAATTACTGAAAACAAGAGAGAGGAGAAAAAAAGGCCAAACTGCAGGCATTCAGCATGACCATGTGCTCAGGTTTCTCCCTGAGACTTTTAGCTCTGTGATAATGGTTTTGTTGTTGTTGTTTTAGTTAGATTCTCGCTCTGTCTTCTAGGCTGGAGTTCAGTGGTGCAATCTCAGCTCACTGCAGCCTCTGTCTCCCGGATTCATGATTCCTGTGCCTCAGCCTCCCAAATAGCTGGGATTACAGGCGTGCATTGCCACGCTTAGCTAATTTTTATATTTTTTTAGTAGACAGGAGGTTTCACCATGTTGCCCAGGCTGGTCTCAGAACTGGCCTCCAGTGATCCATCCACCTTGGCCTCCCAAAGTGCTGGGATTAAAGGCATGGAGCCACCACGCACGGGCATGTAATATTGGTTTTTAAATCACTTTTAGCTTTATAGTAAGTGGTATTAATAACTAAATGAGCAGACATTTAAATCTGGAAAGATATGTGTTTATGTATATATATATATAATTAGAAAATACATTTGATTTTACAGGAAAAGAAAGAAAATATGTGATTTTAAAAACTCAGTACTATACCTCAATGACAGTCAGAAAGGGATGTAGGTTCTGTTATTATATCACTTCACTAACATGTTTTTAACCAGTTACTGTGGTTCCTACAGTAAGCAAGTTAGATAACGTGTAGGAGGCATATTTGAGTGTCAGAATTAGGCCCATTTCTTCTCTGTGTCAGTACAAGGTCTATTAATGACTAACTCTTGAGTGCCACAATTGTGATTCACCAGCACGGTTTAAATTGGAGACCCTAATTATATCCTTCTCACTTTAAGGGAGACTTGAACTGCCAAATGGAAACCCAAGAAGGCAATGGCACATTTTCATTCAAATTTTGTTAGTATTTCTGCTAGACTGTCCTCTAATAAAATACAAGCTACATTACTGTAGTTTCAGATGAAAAAGACTCGTTAGGTCAAATGTTGTCTTATTTCTCAAATTTCCATTAGTGTTCTTGCCATTTTCTTATGTGGGAATTTTCTAGTCTTCTTGATGAGCACTTTGTTTTAGTAGTTGGGAGCTTTTTTCGGCCTGCAAAACAGTTATTAGTCCTATCAGGTCTATCATGACTTTTTAAGATTCCCAACCTGTAAGTAATCATTTTGACTACCGCCCTATTGCTCACTGTTGAAATATCCTTGGTTGTAATATGCTATCTTCCTTTTCTCTTTGTTGGTAATTCTTTTGGAATGGAAGAATGAAGATACTTTTACAAAACAACTTTTTAAGTTGTGTCTTAAATTCAAAACAAAGTCCTCTGCATGGATTCCTGGCATAGTCTGGGTTTCTCCTTATTTATCCACTTATATTTCCCAGTGCCTCCATTTGTAATTTTCAAATCATCAAAATCTGTTCTACCCACTGAATCAATATCCAACCATGTGGGGATGTGGGGATGACCTTATTTGATTTTGGAACTGGTCGCAAGACTTAATAGCATGTACTTTTACTTCTGCCATTCTCATAGAAAAGAAAATATCTTTTTTCCAACAGGGAACGATAATTGCCTGTTGGCTAGACCCTGACTGGAAAGTGAAGTTTTCTGTATCTGTCATTGGGTTCCTTTTGTATGGAAACAGTTATCCCCTCCTCCAGCTCCACCTAATATATTCCTCTAGAATTCCTCTCCATTTCCTCCCCCTCTACACAACAAGACGCTAATTATATTTTTTCTGCAGTCACTATTTGCATGTTCTTGACTGCATAATGTTTTGCTTACAGCATCAAAAGGACTTTTTATCTCTTGTTCATGATGAATATTGTCCCAGCTAATTTATGTGTGTCTTTATGGTATCTCACACTGCGTGACTCTGACTGGCACTGGGAATGCCATTCTTCTGTGATTCTCATCCTGATGTGGCTAGTGTTAACCACTTACAACCCTGCCCTTCTGTTAGACCACTATAAGCAGCACAAACTAGGCAGTTGCTGTGTGGCTCTAAAATGTAGTTTTTAATTTTATCAAGGTTATGCATACACGTAGTATGGCTAGTTCTTGATTTTTCTGTTGGAGATATTAAATATGCCTTTTCTACTATGGAAAATGATGATTCAGCTCTTTCATTGCTCGCTTCCCCCACCCCCATACTTCCAGTCCTTCTCTATTCTTTCATTGTATCATAGTTTCAGCTACATCAATGTTTAGAGTTTATATTTCTGTGACTTTTTACATGCTATTCACAGCTGAATTGTGATATGATTGCATTTTTTAAAAATTAACACCATTTTGTTACCTCTTGATTTAATAGTGTAATTCTCTCTTGAGTGGGGGGCTTAGTTTTCTGTGTTTAAAATTAGCCAACCCTAACCTTTCTCTTTGTTGTGTGAATCTCTTAATACAAAACACTTAAGGAAAAGCTTGAAATATCCTTTCACCACTATCCACAGGAATACTATTGCCTGTCTTGTTTTTTCCCTCTTGCCTGCGATCTCATGACTTAATCTTGAGTTATTAACTATTTTTGAGGCCTTGGGTGTTTCATTATATGTATGTTCATATTGCTCTTCCCTTGATTAGTAGTTTGGCTGGACCAGGCACAGTGTCTCATGCCTGTAATCCCAGTACTTTGGGAGGCCAAGGCAGGTGGATCTCTTGAGGCCAAGAGTTTGAGACTAGACTGTGCAACATGGCAAGATCCTGTCTGTACTGAAAATACAAAAATTAGCCGCATGTGGTGGCATGTACCTGTAGTCGCAGCCACTCGGGAAGCTGAAGCAGGAAAATCACTTGAACCCAGGAGGCAGAGGTTGCACAGAGCCAAGATTGCGCCACTGGCATTCAGCCTGGATGACAGATCCTGTCTCAAAAAATAATTTTTTTTGGCTGAATGCTAACAAGAATTCTAGGCTGGAAATTCTTTTTTCTAAGAATTTTGAAGAAATGTCTTCCAGTGCCTGGTATTTCTCTTAAGCAGTTGAGTTTCTTGATACTTTTTACATATTGCTTGTTGTTTTTTTTGTTTTTGTTTTTGATTTTGTTTTGCTCCAAAAACTTCCGACAATTGCTTTGTTCCCAGTGTTCTGAAATCTCACAGTAGTCAATGTGCTTGTGTGAATCCACTTTCAATCTTGGTGCTGGGTTCCCAGATAGCCATGTGCTTGAGAACACTGACATCTTTCAATTCTAGGAGGTTTATTAAAATTTTTTTTTTAATTTCCTTTGCTGGCTAGGTGCGGTGGCACACGCCTGTAATCCCAGCACTTTGGAAGGCCGAGGTGGGTGGATCACGAGGTCAAAAGATCGAGACCATCCTGGTCAACATGGTGAAACCCCGTCTCTACTAAAAATACAAAAAATTAGCTGGGCATGGTGGCGCATGCCTGTAATCCCAGCTACTCAGGAGGCTGAGGCAGGAGAATTGCCTGAACCCAGGAGGCGGAGGTTGCGGTGAGACGAGCAATGGTGTTACGCCATTGCACCTCCAGCCTGGGTAACAAGAGCGAAACTCTGTCTAAAAAAAAAAAAAATTTTTCCTTTGCTTTGTTTTGTCATTCTGCCTTTCTGTGAGATGTATTTTTTGGATATTTGACAGATCTGCCTTTTTTTCTCTTCTTTTTACTATTTTCTAGGTCTTTGACCTTTTTTCCTAGTTTCTAAAAGATAATCTTAGCTTCCTCTTAATGCTTCCGTTGAGTTTTTTACTTTTTCTTTTTTTTTTTTTTTAGACAGAATCTTGCTCTGTCACCCAGGCTGTAGTGCAGTGGCACAATCTTGGCTCATGTCATCCTCTGCCACTGGGTTCAAGCGATTCCCCTGCCTCAGCTCCCCCAGTAGCTGGGACTACAGGTGTACATCACCACACCTGGCTAATTATTTTGTATTTTAGTAGAGACTGGGTTTCACCGTGTTGGCCAGGATGGTCTGGATTTCCTGACCTTGTGATCCGCTTGTCTCGGCCTCCCAAAGTGCGGTGATTACAGGTGTACAGGTGAGCCACTGTGCCCAGCTGTTTTTTACTTTTTCTATCATATTTTTTATTTCCAAGAACTCTTTATTTATGAAATATTTTATAGTATTCTCTTCCTTTCCTCCCTCCACTTTCGTTGCAGTATCTCTCACCTAACTCTTAGACATATCTATGATATAATTTTTTTTCATTCGAAGTTTTGGGTTCATCCTTTGCTTGTCTCTCCTCACATCCAGTCTTATTCTCCTCTATTGGTGGGGAGAAAAGAGTAATGTCCTTTGAGTTGAACTACAGACACTTTACCTTTAATGCACTCATTTATTTCCACCTAATCTGTCATATAGTTTGTCATCTTCACTTCTTTTCAACAGTATATGATCCCTGCCTTGTTCAAGACCTGGCTCCAAGCCAACCTTCTGCAAGGTCTTGCTAGAGTCTAGATTAAAACTCCTTCCAAACCCAGACTCCCAGTCACCACATCAAACTACTCAGGCTCATGTGTCTGTTTCACTGTGACAGCTCATTTATGCTTTTAATGTGTGCCTTTGTGATCACTCTGTATTTGTCTTATCCACTTTGCTAAGAAAAAAAAGCTATATGATATCTATATCCCTGTTAATCCTCTGAAGCACCACAAAATCAAAACCGTTTTTATAATAATACCAAGATATCATTCATGTGTTTCACACATTCTCTCATAATTTTACAGTGGAGTTTTCTAGAGTTTAAGGATATGTGATTTTGCAATAGATTGAATGCAGTGGATATGAAAATTGATCTGTCTGCCATTAAGCCAGGCATTAAAGAGATTTGCAAGAGTATAAAACAGTACTATGCTTCTCACTAATTTTTTTGTTAAATAAATAATATAAAATGTTTTGTTTTAATTTCTTAAAATAAGTTTCCATAGATTGAAATTCCATAAACAAAAACTCCCTTTAGAATGCTTTGTAATTAGGATTCCAAAGAGCCTTTTTCCAAAGAATCTTTTGGAATCCTAATTCCAAATATACATTTTATGCGTCAAGAGATCATGAGACCAAAATATTTAGTACATCCTGTTCTGAAGCTGTAGATATACATATATGGCTCATTACATTTATTAAATGTTTAAGTACTCTCAATAAATTCTTTAATTTTTTTTTTTTTTTTTTTGAGATGGAGTTTCACTCTTGTCCCCCCAGGCTGGAGTGCAATGGTGCCATCTGTGCTCACTGCAGCCTCCACCTCCTGGGTTCAAGTGATCCTCCTGCCTTAGCCTCCCAAGTAGCTGGGATTACAGATAACTTCTACCATGCTGAGCTAATTTTTTATATTTTTAATAGAGACAGGGTTTCACCATGTTGGCCAGGCTGGTCTCGAATTCCTGACCTCAAGTGATCCAAGCACCTCGGCTTCCCAAAGTGCTGGGATCATAGGCATGAGTCACTGCGCCCAGCCTGTAGTTACTTCTTTTAAAAAGAGATATCCCTCCTTATTCCCCACTACCATCTTTGTTTGTTTATATTTGTATATTCTCCTGCATTCTTTGGCAATACTCTGTAGATTTTTTTCCCGTCCCTTAGATAAAATAGAATTAAGTTTTGATTGTTATACTATCAGTATTTATTTATTTGATGGTTATTTTAAATTGTTTTATTGTAGATGAAAAAGAGAAATTCGAACCTACAGTCTTCAGGGATACACTTGTCCAAGGGCTTAATGAGGCTGGTGATGATCTTGAAGCTGTAGCCAAATTTCTGGACTCTACAGGCTCAAGATTAGATTATCGTCGCTATGCAGACACGCTCTTCGATATCCTGGTGGCCGGCAGTATGCTTGGTAAATGTGCATTATCACATCTTGGAGTATATTTATATATTTTTAATTCATTGAAGTATTTTCTTGTAAGATAGAGTCTTTATAAGTTTATTTTTATTGGAGTTGATAAAAAATACAAATGGAAACTTATGATTTTTACCTGATTTAGGATTTGGAATAGTATTAATGCTGATGTGAAATTATTGTGAAATATTGGTTAATAGAGGTATAGAATGGAAGACTTTGGTTGACATTACTACAAACTTGGCCACTTTGCTTCACCTGAAAGCCACCTTTCTCATATGTCCCTAGTCTTTCAGTGTTTTTGGAGGGGTCATAAAAGGGGTAATTTCTGCAAAAGACTATAACTTAGTGTATAAATTTTAAAGATGTAATTAATCCCATTTCATCTATAAATAATAAAACATATAAAGAAATACAGTTTAAACCTGGTTTTTGAAAAATCATTTAAATTGTAAGTATAGGGGAACAGGATGGCCAAATAGGCACAACTCCGGTGCACAACACCCAGCGAGAGAGACGCAGAAATAGAGACATCTCCTAGCTCCAACCAAGGTACCAGGTACCTTTCAAGAAGTCTGGTCGGATGGTGAGCAAAGCCCAGGCAGAGCAGACTGAGGCGGGGAGTGATGCTGCTTCACCCAGAAAGTACATCTGACTGGTGAGTCGGAGGCTTCCCTTCCGGCACCTTGGTCCAGATACAGCGTTTCCCCTAAAGCCTCAGCAATACACGGAACAGGGGATCTTTGCCAGTCAAGCACCAGGAATTACATGCATAGAGTTGAATAATAATCCAGGACAATGTCCCGGATTGTTGCACAGATCTAAGCAAACTGATAAGCCCATAGCTGGTCGGGAGAGCCTGCAGACCAAGCCATCACCCCCTCCCCCTGCCCAGAGAGAGGGAGCTGAAAGCTGGAGACAGACAGTGCAGTTGGATGGGTCCCTCCCCTCCCCCACAAACCCCAGAGGGCAGAAGCACTAACTCTGGCAGGTTGCACAGCCAGTGCCTCAGTCTGAACTAAACCCTGAATGATCCAGCTCCGTGGAGGAAAGGCCAACCCACCATTAAAGAGGCAGGACTAGGCCTCATGTTTTAACAAAAAACACAGGAAGCCTACTTAGCAATTGGATGGTATTCTTGACCACCCAGCAGTGCCTCCAGGTCAGTGGAAGATGCGGTCCTAACCTTTCAGTGTAAACAAAAAAGACACAGGAAGCCTACCTAGTAACCTGAAGGAGTCCCTGGAAACCCAGTAGCTCCTCCACAGGCAGACAAGCAACCTCATCAAGCATCTCCCTGTGATCAGAGCCAGGTAAATCCATGAAGATGGAAAAAAAACAGTGCAAAAGTGATGAAACCATCGAAGACCAGAATGCCTCTTCACCTTCAAGGGATCACAACTCCACATCAACATGGGAACACAACATGACCGAGAAAGAGTGTGACGAATTGACAGAAACGGGCTTCATAAGGTGGGTAATAACAAACGTTTCTGATCTAAAGAAACACGTTCTAACCCAATGCAAAGAAACTAAAAACCTTGAAAAAAGGTTAGATGAAATGCTAACTAGGATAACCAGCTTAGAGACGAACATAAATGGCTTGATGGAGCTGAAAAACACAACACAAGAACTACTTGAATCAAACACAAGTTTTAATAGCCGAATCGATCAAGCCGAAGAAAGGATATCAGAGATTTAACATCAACTCAATGAAATAAAAAGAGAAGACAAGACAGGAGAAAAAAGAGCAAAAAGAAAAGAGCAAAGCCTCCAAGAAATATGGGATTATGTGAAAAGACCTAATCTATGCTTCATCAGTGTACCTGAATGTGACGGGGAGAATGAATCCAAGCTAGAAAACACGTTCCAGGATATTATCCAGGAGAAACGTCCCCAGCCTAGCAAGGCAGTCCAACATGGAAATCCAATAAATATAGAGAACTCCACAAAAGTGTTCCTCAAGAAGAGCAACCCCAAGGCACATAATCGTCAGATTCAGCAGGGTTGAAATGAAGGAAGAAACGCTATGGGCAGCCAGAGAGAAAGGACAGGTCACCCACAGAGGGAAGCCAATCAGACTCACAGCGGATCTCTTGGCAGAAACCCTAAAAGCAAGAAGAGAGTGGGGATCAATATTCAACATCTGTAAAGAAAAGAACTTTCAACCCAGAATCTCAAGTCCAGCCAAACTAAGCTTCATAAGTGAAGGAGAAATAAAATCCTTTACGGACAAGCAATTACTGAGAGATTTTGTCACCACCAGACCTGCCTTATGAGAGCTTCTGAAAGAAACACTAAACACAGAAAGGAACAAGTACCAGCCACTGCAAAAGCACACCAAATGGCAAATACCAAAAATGCAAAGAAGAAACTGAGTCAACTAATGGGCAAGAAAACCAGCCAGTAACAAAATGTCAGGATCAAATTCACACATAACAATATTAACATTGAATGTAAACAGCCTAAGCACCCCAAACAAAAGACACAGACTGGCAAACTGGATAAAAAGTCAAGACCTGTCGGTGTGCTGTATTCAGGAAACCCATCTCACATACAAAGGCACACATTGACTCAAAATAAAGGGATAGAAGATTTACCAAGCAAATGGAGAACAAAAAAAAGCAGGGGTTGCAATCCTAGTCTCTGATAAAATGGACTTCAAACCAACAAAGATCAAAAGAGACAAAGAAGGGCATTACATAACGGTAAAAAGATCAATCCAACAAGAAGAACTAACTATCCTAAATATATACACACCCAACAAAGGAACACCCAGATACATAAAGCAAGTTCTTAATGACCTAAAATGAGATTTAGACTCCCACACAATAATAGTGGGAGACTTCAACACTCCACTGTCAATATTAGATCGACAAGAAAGAAAATTAACAAGAACATCCAGGACTTGAATGCAGAGCTGGACCAAGCAGACCTAATAAACGTATACAGAATGCTCCACCCCAAATCCACAGAATATACGTTCTTCTCAGCACCACATTGTACTTACTCTAAAACTGACCACATAGTTGGAAGCAAATCACTCCTCATCAAATGCAAAAGAATGGAAATCATAACAAACAGTCTCTCAGACCACAGTGCAGTCAGATTAGAACTCAGTATTAAGAGACTCACTCAAATCCGCACAACTGCTTGGAAACTGAACAACTTGCTTCTGAGTGTCGACTGGATAAACAATGAAATGAAGGCAGAAATAAAGATGTTCTTTGAAACCAATCAGAATGAAGATACAACTTACCAGAATCTCTGGGACACCTTTAAAGCAATGTCAAGAGGGAAGTTTATAGCAATAAATGCCCACTTGAGAAACAAGGAAAGATCTAAAATTGACACCCTATCATCAAAATTGAAAGAGCTGGAAGAGCGAGATCAAAAAAACTCAAAAGCTAACAGAAGACAAGAAATAAGTAAGATCAGAGCAGAACTGAGGGATATAGAACTGAGGGACATAGCAGGACTGTGTCTCTACACAAAAAAACCCTTCAAAAAATCAATAAATCCAGGAACTGTTTTTTTGAAAAGATCAACAAAATAGACTGCTAGCAAGACCAATAAAAAAGAAAAGAGAGAAGAATCAAAAAGATGGAATAAAAAATGATAAAGAGGATATCTCCACTGATTCCACAGAAATACAGACTACCATCAGAGATTACTACAAATAGCTGTATGCACATAAGCCAGTAAACCTGGAAGAAATGGATAAATTCTTGGACACTTGCACTCTACCAAGACTAAACCAGGAAGTTGAAACCCTGAAGAGACCAATAACAAGGGCTGAAGTTGAGGCAGCAATCAAAGTCTGCCAAACAAAACAAGTCCAAGTCCAGATGGGTTTACAGCCGAATTCTACCAGATATACAAAGAGGAGCTGGTTCCATTCCCTCTGAAACTATACCAAACAATACAAAGAGAGGGAATCCTCCGTAACTCATTCTGTGAAACCAACATCATCCTGATACCAAAACCAGGCAGAGATTCAACTAGAAAAGAAAACTTCAGGCCAATTTTCATGATGAACATCGACGCAATAATCTTCAATAAAATACTGGCAAACCGATTGCAACAGCACATCAAAAAACTTATCCATCACAATCAAGTAGGCTTCATCCTGGGGATGCAAGGCTGGTTAAACATACGCAAATCTATAAACATGATCCATCACATAAACAGAACCAAAGACAAAAACCACATGATTATCTCAATAGATGCAGAGAAGGCCTTCGACAAAATTCAACATCGCTTCATGCTAAAAACTCTCAAGAAACTAGGTATTGACAGAACATATCATAAAATGATAAAAGCTATTTATGACAAACTGAGAGCCAATATCATACTGAATGGGCAAAAACTGAAAGCATTCCCTTTGAAATCTGGCACTAGACAAGGATGCCCTCTCTCACCACTCCTATTGAATATAGTATTGGAAGTTCTAGCCAGAGCAATCAGGCAAGAAAAAGAAATAAAGCGTATTCGAATAGGAAGAGAGGATATCAAATTGTCCCTGTTTGCATATGACATGATTGTATATTTAGAAAATCCCATTGTCTCAGCCCAAAATCTCCTTAAACTGATAAGCAACTTCAGCAAAGTCTCAGGATACAAAATCATTGTGCAGAAATCACAAGCATTCCTATACACCAATAACAGACTTAAAGAGAGCCAAATCAAGAACGAATGGCCATTCACAATTGCTACAAAGAGAATAAAATACCTAGGAATACAACTAACAAAGAATGTAAAGGACCTCTTCAAGGAGAACTACAAACCACTGCTCAACGAAATAAGAGAGGACACAAACAGATGGAGAAACATTCCATGCTCATGGTTAGGAAGAATCAGCATCATGAAAATGGCCATACTGCCCAAAAGTAATTTACAAATTCAATGCTATCCCCATCAAGCTACCATTGATCTTCTTCACAGAAGTGGAAAAAACCACTTTAAGCTTCATATGGAAGCACAAGAGAGCCCACATA